GCTAAGAGCCTCAGATGCACTTTTTTTTTTTTTTTTTTTTGGTTTACATTTGTTAATCGTTGTACAGCCCATAATACAAATAATAATATAAACTTAAAATGGCAAAAACATAAACACATAACAAGCATAAACAAGGTATCTGAAAGAAAATCGCAACCCAAACAAAATTATACGTATTTAATACGTATTTTTTCGTATTTTTTTTTCGTATTATTTACGGTACTTTTGGCCGCTGTTTGGGCGTTTTAAATACGTATCTTTTAAACGTATTAATACGTATTTTTTTGTATTTTTTTTTCGTATTATTTACGGTACTTTTGGCCGCTGATTGGGTGTTTTAAATACGTATCTATTGAACGTATTAATACGTATTTTTTTTTCGTATTTTTTACGGTACTATTGGCCGCTGATAGGTTGTTTTAAATACTTATCTTTATAGAATTTTTTTTAGTATTATTTATGTAACTTCGGCAATTAAATTTATAAGCCATATATAATACAATATACATAAACAAGACATTTTTTATTTTTAAACTTTATTTCAAAGTTTATTTATTACTTGGTTAATTATCCATTCCAGGCATTTCGAGTATCGTTGCTTCGGCTGCTTAAAGAAGATAATTTTGAATCATTTGATTAAGTTTCTTTAACTGCTCAGACAACCTGCTTTAACAGCATCGTTTACTTGAACGAATAACACGTCTTTAAGAATTTTAGAAACAATATCTAAACGTACAAATAGTTTCTAAAAAACATACTAAACAGTATCTGAATGTACCAACAACAAAAATAAGCAATACTATTTAAAATACTTTTACAGTGTCTCAAGAATGTTCTCCTCCCAAACATATATTACTTCCCCACAAAAAATATGTTTTGTGTGGCAAAAATATGTCAAATACACACACATAACTAAGTAAATAAAAAATATCATATACTAAATATTTTTACCTCGAATTACATCTTGTTGTTTAACATCTTCCAAAAATCTAGATATAAAGAAAAATTACAAAAACATACTATGTACAGCTGAACATACTACCTACAATTAAGTATATAACTTTGTTTAGTGTCTGTTCATTATTTGTAGTAAAAGATTATTTTTAAAGCTGTTTAGTCATTAAACTAATTTTTTAAGTTTTTATACCATATAACCAAAATTGTTCCAAACAAACCAAGTTGAGTATCTTTTTTTTAATTAGGCCCTCAGAAAGACTAAAATTTATAAAAACTCACATAACAGCAGTTCGTTTTCCATTGTATGCATCTATCTCCATACCAATCAAAATTAACATTACTCTAATTTAAAGACAATTCAAAGAAGTGCTACTAGTTGTTGATTTTCATTTTACCATCAAGATGCTGATTTATAACTTCCTGTTCTAGCTTCCAGCATTTGCTGTATTTTTCTAAATAATTTTGCAGCCATAATAACATAAATTATTTAATGAAATTAAGCAAGCAACCTAAATAACCGTGCAAAAAACAACTGTTACAATGATGTTAATAAGGAACATTATCAAAAAAATAGCACATTTTTTGTTAAAACAAGAACGTCAGCTGCAGAGCAAATGATGTTCTCGTTTCAAAATAAAACAAAAACTTTACCCACCTGTAAATGAAAGAATAAAATGTTATATTTTATATTTAAAATATTTATTATGTTAAATATAAAATGAAGATAATTGTCGATTTTAATGAACAAAAATTTAACTGTTTTGTTATAGGACATGTTTTATTAAAACATGTCATAAAACAAAAAGTTTTTTTCATCAATAATCAAAACCTGACCTTCTTCAAAAAAATAAAATAAATAATAAATAAAATGGATGTGTTTTTAACTCACTTGCGAGTTCTCCCTAAATCAGTCAGTGTATGTACTGAAGCCCTCGCCTATCCCTAAATAAGTAACATGTCATAGTGCTAACCAAAGTGTGTAAGCAGGATCTTTCAAACTTATAAGTCTTCTCAACAATAAAAAAGACTTTATATTTTAACAATTTATTTTAAAATTAATAAAATAATTGGTTTTTAATCAAACTCTGGAATTTCAGGTGTAGTTTCTTCAGCTGTTGTAGACTTAGAATTTCGATTTCTTTGATTGAGTCTCTTTAATTGTTCCGAAATCGCAACATTTATTTGGACCAACGACACACCTTTATGAACTTTCAAAACAACATCTAAATTAAATGTATTAAATTTTTTGACTAATCACATTCAAAAGACATTAAATAGGGTCTCAAAAAATTATTATATGTTTATATATATATACAGTTATGGCCATTGAAATCCGACCACTGCTGAATATAAAGAAAAACAGTCTATGCACTCGAATAATCAATTTATTTTCTTCCCTGTTATCAATGATTAGTTAATTAGCTTTTAGACAATCACATTAGTGTTTATTTTATTGCACTGTAAAATTTATTAAGCTATATATCTCATTGTAGGGTATGGATTATCATTTAACTGTCACAATTTAATTATGACTACGAAGAAAGGTGTTCGTGCTAATATTAAACTTTTATGGGAGGATGGTGCAAGTGAGCATCAGATATATGCAAGATATCGAATGCCAAAATCAACTGTTCATGATATTATACAACTAATCAAAGACACAGGATCCACTGCGCCCAAAAACGTTTTGGTAAAGCTAGAATTACTAGCAAACAAACAGACAATAAGATACGCAGGGCTGCTGTGAGAGATCAAACAATATCCAGCACACAAATCAGAGCAGATCTACCTAATGACGTTACAGTCAGCACTTGAACAATAAGAAGACGTTTATTGAAAGATGTAGGCCTACGTTCTCGTCGTCCAGCCCTCAAACCGCGACTGTCTTTAAAGAACATCTGTGATAGGATCGCATTAAAGTCAGCAGTTAATCAATTAATCAAGTTAAAGTCAGCAGTATCCAGAACTAATCCTACATCACTGGACAATCTAGCGCACAAAATTCGTCAAGATTGGATTACTGAAATAACACCAGAATATTGTTAGGCTCTCGTGGATTCAATGCCAGATCGCATTAATGCAGTCTTAAAAGCACATGGTGGTGCCACTAAATATTAAATTCAACGAACATTAAAAAACATTAGTAGAGTAAAAAACATTAATATTAACATTAAATATGTACGATATGTTACATTATAATCATTAATTGCTACTGTTATTCTTTTATTGCTATAATACAATTGTTTATTACTACATTAAACTAGTTTTAAGTAAAATGATACTGGTGGTCGGATTTCAATGGCCATAACTGTATATATATATATATATATATATATATATATATATATATATATATATATATATATATATATATATATATATATATATATATATATATATATATATATATATATATATATAAAAATACATTTAATGATTCATTTAGGGTAATATATAACTATAAATAAGATAATATATAATTTATACATAGTAATACTTGTAATTTTCATATATATTAAATATATTGACCTTGAATTATGGAAACAAAGTTTCCCTTTGCTGAAGAAAAACTTTTTTTTCCGCGTTTCCCATCTCTAGAATAACAACTAAGAACATTGTCCTTTAATAAACTTCTTAATATATTTAGTATGGTCTTGTTGACATTTGAGTCTGACCTCTTCCGCAAATAACGTATCTAAACAGGAACAACAATTAGAAAATATCCATTTTATGCTGTACATTTTGGTTTACATAAACTTTAAAAAAACAATTTTATATATTTATATAAATAACATAGACAAATTTGCTCAAACAACCCAAATTAAATGCCTTCAAATATTTTACCCATAGAATACCTAACAGAAACATCACAAAAGTTTACTTACCAAAGAAGTTCGTTTTCCATTGTCACTATCTATCTCTATACCGAATCGTTCAAAATCAACTTCACTCTCAAGTGGAAGACAATTCAAAAAATTGCTATCTACATGCTGATGCTCATTTTGACATTGTTGATCTAAACGATGATTTATCACAGTCTGTTCTGCACGCATTTGTTGTATTTCTTTAAATAATTTCTCAAACCACGTAACAACATGCGTACAATGATATGCACAAGGAACATTAGCTAAAAAATAATAAAAACTTTCTGGTAACGTAACAACAGATCCAGAGCAAATTATAACACCATTCCTTAACCGGTAAATGCAGATGGAGAAATAGTTTGTATTATATAATGTAAAATATTTGATTTTACTTATTATGATTTACGAGAACTAATTTAAGATTATGATTAACGATAATAAAAGATTAAACTGTCTTATGTTATAAAACAAGCCATAAAACAAAAATATTTTAATAATCAAAAACATCTTCAGTATAATAAGGAATTGTAGCAAAAAGCCATTGCTCAATATATTTTAAAGAATAATCTTCAACAGAATAAAATTAAGTAACTCACTAGAGATTGGTGTTGGAGTTTGAACAGAGTTTGAAATTGAAAAATCAGGAACTAGTGCTGATTTATCTGGAAATGAAGGATAGTTATTAGATGAAGTGGTTTGGCAGTTAAAATTAAATTTTCTATTTTTGGCTAAGGGTCGTAAAAACTCTTGCGTATTAAATATGCTATGATCATCATCTAAAAAAATTTTTTTTTTCAGTATTGACTAGCTACATAAAAGTTATACAAATCTAACATATTCTTATATGCAGATATAAAAAATGCTATATGCAGATACAAAAAATGGTTATTAAGATCATTAAATGATTAATCAGTCAACAAGCCTGTTCTTGTTGAACAAAATTAAACATTTAGCTTACTAGAAAACGATGCTGAAGTTTGAATTAAAGATGGATTAGAAACTAGTGATGGTGCATGAGGAATCAAGGGGTTGTTTAAATAGGAAGTGGTATGGCTATTTGAAGTTAATTTGCTGATTTTGGATGGTGGTTGACAATATTCTTGACTGTTAAATCTGCTAGGGGCATATATAATTCTGCTACCATCTTCAGCTGAACTAAGATCAGAATTTTCCTCAGCTGGTCGCTCCTTTGCCCTTGCTGATTTGAGAGTTACTACAAAAATAAAATTATAAAGATATTAAATTAAACTGTTTCATAATTAAAAAATTAAGAAAACATGTCTCCTTTAGTCAGTTGAAATGCTTACTCTCAGTAAAAATACCTACAGATGTTACTGGACAACACTCGTACTTCATAAGAAATCCAGTCAGCACCTGGCTCTTCATGGTTTAGTAACATGTTTTGCAATTTCTTCCCTACTCTACAGTTGGGCCACAAAACGCATCCTGAATCTTTGAACCATTTACTGGACACTGTTGCCACTTCATTATCAATATTAAAAATAACTACTGAATAAGACATCTGTTATAAAAAAAATTTCAAATACAAAATATTAAAAAAAAAAATTTGCTTAATTTAAATAAAGAAAAAAAAAAATAGTTAATTACCATATAAGACCTATTATTATTTACCTATTATTTACCATATAAGAGTAATACAATTACATCCTGCTAAACAACGTTCAAAGATACTTCAAGAACTAACATTCTGCAAATTTAAACTTCAAAACAAAGAAATAATAAAATGTGTAAATGTAGTTCATAATTTTACACTATATATTTAAAAAGCTGCCCAAATAAATTAAAGCAATTGTAAGAAATGTATAAATAGATATAACAAAATGAAATACATGTTGTATACCATAAATAGACATGGAACAAATTACAAATACTGTATAATATAAATTTATTATCTTATTTGAAAAAATATATAGAACTCTAAAATATAATAAGAACTCAAATCTCTGATAATGGGATTACAACAAAGGAAGAAGAATATGGGAGACAACAACATTTAATAACAATATCAGAAAACGGAATTGTATGCAAAGTGTCACTAAGACAACTAACTTTAAAAATAGATAGTTTTGAACTTGCAAGTGGAACGTCATAAAAGTTTGTTTGCACAGTAAAACACCTGGCTAAGAATAATGGATTTTTTAAGTCTTCTGCTAAGATGTTAACTATTTGATAGCACTTTTGTCCTACCATTACTGAACTATCCCGCAAACCGCTTGAAAACCTTTGATTTTTGTAATGGCACACTTTATATTGCAAAAAATGGCCCTGATTTGGTAAAGGCCCACTACAATGTTGAAGGGAAACTCCATCAGTGTGTACTTTCCTAGAATGTTCAGATTTGTTATCAGAAAGACTAGAAGCTACTTGCTGAAGCGGCAAATATCCACTTCGAATTCTTCGTTTTAAATGACCAAGAGCATTTTCAAAGGGGAAAGCACAAAAATTGCCAAGCGGTCCAAATTGTAAACAATCATTATCCAGATGTATAAGAGAATGCACATTATATGACATAAATGATTTGCCATACAAGGCAACAGCCTTTGTAACAAATATTTTCAGCAACTCACCACAATATTTAATAACTTCATGCTCTTGTGACCTACATAATAGAAATATGGAACTATGTAAAATAAGAAAATGTTCATAAACTGGTTTACTAAGAATATCACACAAAACTATAGGCCCTGAATAAAGGAGAAATGATCGGAATTCTGTTGCCTTCCACTTATTCATACTCTCCAATGAACGAGGTCTTCTGTTAAAATCTGATGGAAAGAACAATGAAACATGAATTAATCGAGCTGATATTGTTTTTAGTGATTGCGAAGATAGCTTAACACTGAATGGTCCAGAAGACCAAAAATTTAGAAGTTTTCGTACTACTCCCAGACAGACAGAATGCATATAGTCATTTGGAAAACTATTAATTGGATGAATAGGAATTCCTAATAAAGGTGTCACACCAATATGATGACTATCATCTTCTCTAGAAACAAAACTTTCTAATGTTCTCAAGGGTGCATCTGTTTCTAAAAATACAACCTTGTTTAGCCATTCACCCTCTACAGTGCACTTGTCACAGCTGGAATATCCTGAATGATACTTTATGCACTTAATAAATGCACGTGCAGGGGCATCACATACAATATTAGTTATATGAATATTGCACAAGTGTGAGTTAATTGTAACACCATTGCTTTTAAGATGATTTATCTCAGTAATAAAATGGGAAAAAAACTCTTGTAAATTTGGTTTTTTCCTTCCACTAAAAATAGCAACAACTTTTGGTGACAATGAATCGTTAACTTTTTTTACCAGAATTGGCCAAAATGATATTTCAGAATTGTGATAGATTGGAACACCATCAATATTAAATTGCAAACAGATAATCGATGGGTTAGACACACTCAATGTTTGAAGAAAAGGTTCAACACCAATATATAAAAATTCACCATTAGTCACAATTCTAATTGTTACAGGTTTTGAATTTAATAATGTTTTTGAACACTTTGGTAATTGAGTATGATAAGGTTTTAAAATACATAACAATTTGTCCATTGTTGCATAAGGTATATTGTTTTCAATCGCATAATCACGTAACTTAATTTGCAACTCAAATTCACTTGGATTTTCGCCACCAGAATCACTGCTGGTAGATACTTCATTGCATGAAGAATGTAATGGAGATTCATCTCCATTACATTCTTCATGCAGTGAAGTATCTGAAACAGGTTCAAAATCAGAACAATCAGAATGGTCGTTTAAGTTTTTGGATTTCTCCAAATGGACATTATCATCTTGATATTCTAAAATTAAAGTTAAACAATAATTCAAATCATAACTTAACAAACCAAACAGAATATATAATGTAAAAATTAATATAAACAACATAGGCAATGACTAATGTAAGTATTATAATTGATAAATAAAAATGATTCTGTAAAAACATAAAATTTATGATAAAACAAACCATTTGTGATATTCAAGAAATTACTAACTGCAATGGCAACTTTTCTACGTTTATTTCTTGAGGAAGACATTTGATATAGAATTATAGTAAAATAAAAATCTGCAAATAAAACAAAAAAAAGGATTGACATTTTCCCGATATTTACGGAGGAGAGTGCAGCGCCAAATCTATTAAAAATAATTTTTTTACTGTGCTCTCATACATAAAACATAGATCATCCTGGATATATTAGAAAAATCCAAAAAATACTTTTCGTAAAATATCAAGTATATTTTTTCCCTTATTTTCTTCCTAATTTTGATTTCAGCTGAGTTGTTTCTCAAATGTTTGGAAACTTTTCCTAATTTTTGTAGGAGTAATTACTAAAAAAACTTATAAATTAAATATATTACACAAATATATACTTAAACTTTTAGGTATTTAAAACTTTAAAGATATCCGGATGAACTAAGAGTTGAGAAAAATATCGGGAATTCCAGGAATATCCGGAAAAAGATACTCCTTGGTAAAAACAGGGACAATGCCAGCCCTAATCTCTCTCTCTCTCTCTCTCTCTCTCTCTCTCTCTCTATATATATATATATATATATATATATATATATATATATATATATATATATATATATATATATATATATATATATATGTATATATATATATATATATATATATATATATATATATATATATATATATATATATATATATATATATATATATATATATATATATATATATATATATATACATATACATATACATATATATCCGGGTGTTATTTATCCTAAAGGCACATAGATACATACATACATATGTATACATTATGTATATGATACAAATATATGTAGTTACACATACAGAGTGTAAAATATGGTGTAAATATGTTGGTTGTTTTCTTCAATTAAGGATATTATTCACATTCAATGCTTATTATTATTAAGTTTTAAGAAAATTAAAATATGAAAAATTAAAAAAAGTCAGTATTATATTTAATATAATACTGACTTTTTTTAATTTTTCATATTTTAATTTTCTTAAAACTATATATAATAATTATATTACTGGTAATATATATATATATATATATATATATATATATATATATATATATATATATATATATATATATATATATATAATAATATATATATATATATATATATATATATATATATATATATATATATATATATATATATATATATATATATATATATATATATATATAATATATCTTATATCTATATAATATATACTACATAATATAGTATATATTATATAGCTATTAGATCCTACTGCCCCGCTGATCTTATTACCCTTCTTTACCCTATATATCATATAATACTATTTTAATTATTATAATGATGAAAATTTAAATTATAACTCTACGTAATATAACTAGTTGAACTTTATCAAAACCTCTAATGACATTGTTTGTTTTTTATTAAAAATTGCCTTAAAAATTAAATATTAATTTAAAATATTAAATATTCAAGTTAAATGTTAAATTAAATTAATAAAAATTAAATATTATTTGATTAAATACTCTATGATATTGTATACCTATCACTGTATATATTAGTATATATAACTGATATAATATAGTGGTAATTGCTGAAAAAAAATCATACGCCTCGAGTCATTTATCTTATTTATAAAAAGAGACCGTAGAAATGTTTAGCTAGCATTTTTAACCGCAAATAAATTTTGTGTAAGTGTTTTAAAATACGTAAAAATACGTATTTTAGCCTTAGGATATTATTTCTTAGTTTAAATTCGTATTAATACGTAAACATACGGATTAAAAGATACGTACTATTTAATACGTCATATAGACGTAAGTTTACGTACCTTACGTATTATTTTGCGCAAATACGAATTTAGTACGTATAATTTTGCTTGGGAAGGATCTTGTCGTCAGAACCTTAAAAAAGCATATAACAAAAATAAGATATAAAAAAAATTAATAAACTTTTACAAAATTGCAAGACAAACAATCTGTGTCTGAGAAAAGATCAAAAGGATCTTCTCATTAGATTTTTATACAAGAGTAAACATATAAATTAAAAAGTAAAAAGTATAAAAACAATAAATAAAATAAGTAGGAATAAACTTCTATAAACATAAAACTTTTATAAACAAAAAAAAATAGACCAAAATATATTTTGAACTTTTGCTACTAATAATAACTCAATATATTATCTAATGAAAGAATGAGGTTTTTCAGTTCTTTTTTAAAAGACAAAAAGTAATAGGTACTTCAAAAGTAAAATTCGCCAAAACAATTTTATTTCAAAGGTGTGGCGCTCGATAGGTAATACAATATTGATTAAAGTTTGTTTAATAGAAAGGTTCATTCAAAAAGTTATTATTTCTCAAAATATATTTACTGACTGGTTTAAAAGAGAGAAGATCTTTGAGTACGGCTAGGGATAAGTTATTTATCCGCATATACACAAAACATTAAATATTAAATATATTTAATTCGTAAATATTCAGAAATTCTCATTTCAATAATAAGATGCACTTTTTGTAATAGAAGAGTAGATTTCAATAAGTTCTTTGTCGTAATTGCTATTTGTAAAGTGAAAAATTGTTATTTAAACACTCATAATATAGTTGTATAAAACTTTGATTATTTCAGACATAATTTGGAATGCTATTAATGTCTATAATTTTGTTAACATTTTCTCGGAGAGATTGGCCGCTGAGTCCAATTAGAATTAATATTGACAAATGATCACTCATATTTTGAGATGAAAAAGGGGCTTAAATACAACTCTCATACTGAAGAGAATTTTTTCTTTAGAGAGCTATCTGATCGATGTAAGATGCGTTTGCTTATGTATGATGTTGATACGTTACTTTAGGACCAGAACCTTTAATTACGCCTACTAGTTCAAAATCATTTGTTTTTATAAATTCTGATAAAGCCGTAGAGTAATTACTTTTCGTGAAGTTTTTCGATCTTTCTAATAAATCATATATTCCGTTAGAAAACGATTGAAATTCATCAAGTACAATTACTTCGCCAACACTTTCATAATTATTAATAAGACGTTTAATTACATCTAACTGGTTCTTGTATTTATCCAAAGATGTTTGATTATTGCGCGATGAAGAGAGATAAATACCAATTATGATAATGTTAGTATTATTGTTAATAAGGTTTATTACAAGAATATAATCATCTTCGTAGAGAATAATGACATTTTGAAACAAATTTTTCCGAACAAGAAACGCATTTCCACCAAATGGTCGACGATGCTCGTGTTTGTTTGTCTGTTAGAAGTATCAAATGGTCAACCATGCTCGTGTTTCTTTGCCTGGTGGAAGTGAGTGTTTTTACAAACATTTTTGATAATGGGATATTCTAGTTTTGATAGCCAATGTTCGCATTAAATTATCATTTCATAAGTTTTTTTTTTTTTTTTTTTTTTTTCAAGTTATATAAATTATAAAGATAAACTGGGTTGAAATAAGTTTTACATTTGTACAAAAACAAAAAATATTAAAAACATTTAGCTTATATATATATCAAGAATTTACTGATATAAATCATCCTGACAATTTTTAGCCTCTTTTATTTGAAATTTTCATTTTAAATAAGAGAGGCTTGTCATGAGTAAATCTATCTTTTAAATTAATAAGACGAGCAACATGCTTTTGTTGACAATAAAGAGGCACAAGCTTGAATTTATTAGCATTACACTAAGAAATATTTGCATAGTTTAAATGACAATCGATAAAGGAGTAATATAATTGAGTTAAATTACGTTTATTTAAAGCACTTCTAGCTTAATACAATATTCCTATACTTTTAGCAACTTTATTGCACAAGAATTCTATGTGATATTTTCATTGATATAAATACCCAAAAAGTTTGTAGCTAAAAAAATTCTATCAAGTTCTTCATCGTATAAATCTTATTTAAAAACGTAAGATAAGGTCATGAACTAATCTAAACTAGATATTAATGAGTTGAAATTTGCTCTGGATAGTCATAAAAATAAAACAAGTGAAGGTTTTGATAATATCAGCATAAATTTTTAAAGTCATTTTTTCATATTATAGAAACCTCTTTATATTACATTTTTAATCTTTCTCTTCAATCTGGTACAGTTTCAGAAAAATTCAAAGTTGCTCGAGTCTTGCCTTTTTTTAGGTCTAGTGATGACACGGATTTTTCAAACTGCAGAGCAATATTAGTTTTGCCATGTTTTTTTTAGTTACTCGAACGTATCATGTATGATAGACTTAACAGCTTAACAGTAAATAACATGTTGTACGAAAAGCAATTTAATTTTTAAAAATCATTCATCTGATCATGCTTTTAATAATATGATTTGAAATATGATTTGATAAAAACATACAGGGCTTCCTGTTTGTTTTAATCAAATCATAAGTGTTTTTATAGTTAAATCATCTTTAGTTAAAAAATATTTGTTCCTTTAGTGTTCCAATTAAGGCAACTCTCCCCTATGAAGCAAACCATTTTTAAAAGTTTCTATTTTTTCTTTATACATAGTTATTTAACTTACGGCAATATTGTATTGTCAAGACTGGCTAAGCTAAAAAAAATTTCAATTCTAAACAAAAACATGCTTGCAGAATCGTATTTGAAGAAATAAGAACTGAAATGTAGAATTGCGTTAATGAACATTAAATGTGTTCAAAATCAAGATTTACCTTATACATACAGTTTATGTATAAAATAAAGTATGGAATGTCTCCAACGATATTTTGTCCTTATTTTAGCGTAGTAACTATATACCATAAACACTCCTCTAAAATATCAGAAAATAGTTTTGTTTGAATAAAAATTGTCCTAAGCAACTGAATAGTGGTGATCGGGTCAATACTGCTATGTACTAATGTGTAAAAATGCTAGGTATAACATTTAAAAATAAGACAAATATTGGTTTATTTACTTAGTGAATGAAGCAGTGAATGAAGGTGGGTCTAATCTGTTAAAATTGTCCTCAAATCAGATTCAGACGTTGTTTCAATGCATTAATTGTAGGAATATCGCGTAGCCTACTAATTTACACAAGCATAAAGTTCAACTAAACTCCCTTTTTCAAATGATAAATAACAGGGTATTCTAGTAACATTGGTGGGTAATGCAAGTTTTATA